ACAACAAGAGGCAACAAAAAAAAACTGTCGTTGCAAAGCTGTCGGTTGAATAATCGCTACACTGCCATCTTCTATTCTTTCCATACGATATCCCCATACCGTCACCATTACCCGATCACTAACTTACAATCCGAACTCCCCATTTCTTTCGACCAGGGTTGTAACTTGGTTGATGCCGGTGTCAGGGTCTGCTGCCCTGATCCATTAGGCGTGACTGGCATGTGGCGCAAGAGTGGGAGGCCAACACACAACTTTCCTGAAGTTTTTGACCGCAAAATTAATGAAGAGTCATCTCCTTCTTATATCTGTCGCAGCATCGAAGAATCTCTGGCGCCTAACGCTGCCAGATACTGGACTAACTTGCACACCGCCGTCAACGTCCTGGAACCGAACTGAACAGAACCTTTGTAACAAACCTCGGTTTTTACTTCTTAACTTGGTATCTTTTATCCTTACGGGCTTCAAGGTTCTTGATGTGACTCTCTCATCGGAGGGATCAGTGTGGAACACAGCACTGCTCAAACACCCACGGAGTGGGGTGCTGTGGTTGGGCTCCTCTCCCAATCGCTCATCTACGTGAATACCGTTGCCGATTAACCTTTTCATCCTATTGTCACAGCACCGCGAATTCCCTGGAGCTCACCAGTGCAAGAAATTGGACGACCTGGCAAGCTGCCGTCACCGTCCTGGACACCGAACTGAAATGAACTGACCAGTTGTTTTAATTCACTTGCTCGTTGAGGCGGGAATTGCTTGTGCAACATGGTAAGGCTGTTTTGCTGTGTTCATACTTTGTAGACTAAAATCAAGGCCTCGAAGCTAAGGGGAAAGCCCGAAACGGAGTTGCAGAAACAACTTGCGGATCTTAAAACGGAATTGGGAAACCTTCGGCTGTATCGTGTCACCCGGGGAACATCTTATCATGGGAAACTGAAGAAAATGTAAGTTAATCCGTTTCGTAGATCATGGTTTTTAGTCGTGTCCTGCGGAAGTCGATCGCCCGAGTATACACAGTTATGCATCAGGCCCAAAAAGAACGACAGCGAGAGGCTTATCGTTCTAAGAGGTATGTCCCAAAAGACCTGCGCCCGAAGAAAACTCGTGCTATTCGTCGGAGATTGACGAAGAAAGAACGATCGATTCATTCGGAGAGATTTCTGCATCGAGTTAGAGCGCATCCAGTGCGTGTGTTCGCCGTGAAACGGTAATGAAAATAAAAGCTTTTCCCAGGTGTATTTCAGTTTTATTTAGTCATGGGTATTAGGGGTTCTGAAAAAGAATAAATCGTATGGCCTTTTGGTTTTTCCGCTCATATACTCAACTACGCAAATGGGGATTTGCCATTCCATACCTGTTCAACTGCTGGGTAGCCTTTTACCGCATCTGGTTAACCGATCAGACACTGCACTTTGCTGTCCCCACGCCAACCATGTGATCATCCCAAATTGAATGATGTTGGAGACGCTGTTTGTCAGGTTTACCTATTACTCCGGCATGCTTGCTAAGTGTCATGCACCTGCCATCGATGCCTTCATTAAATGCTAACCTACTGATGTAGTAGTGCATTTCTTATCCGTTTCTGTCTAGTGTCGCGTTCCAGTGGTAATGTATATTGAAGTTATGCAACTCGTTTAGTTGTAACCGATCTCAAACCAGCCTCAGTGGTGCCTGATAAATTCGTCGAATGACAGGGGTGTACATGGCGAAGGGAGCGTGAAGTAAAACGCTTAGGGACATGGCACGGCTTTTTCGACCGAATTTGGCTCCAGCAAGGCGAATGCACCGTATACAGGACATCAAAGGTAGAACTCAGGAATACCAATCACCGGGCTACCGGGTGGTTGACTGGACCTGCACACTTCTCTTCTACACGATGTATCATGGCTAATTTGCTGTAGTTGGTTACGGGCTTCACTCATCTCAGCATGAAACCGGGGGATTATGACCTATTCGAAAGCACTATTCAGACTGCTTTTTGAATCAGGGTAGCAGAGGATTCCGCTCGGTCATCCGTTAGGTTGATGGATTTGCATTGTTTATGGTAACCAATATGATAGTAGAAACCGGACTCACTTCGTTTGCTCTACACATGACCGCCTCCGGTATAACCGAAGGAAATCGACTACTTTGACATGAGTATGTTGTGAATTGTGAGACCGACTGAAATCATGGCAGTTTGGTTATCGTTCCCGCGGTGATCCAGAGACATGCCAGGCTCCTCACTACTGTGCACTTGCTTCCATGAGTCCGTCGAGCCGATTCGGTGATCTGCAAAGTAACGGTGCTATTAGGCGGCGTCGGTTCGACTTCGTTCTAATAGGCCGTTATAACTTGGTTGCTTTTTGTACTACCTGGGTTCTGATTTCATCCTCGGATCTGTTTGATTATTCTTACATTGTATAGGCAGTGTAACTAAACCTGCCCAAGCTCGTTGCCCAACAGCACTAGATAATTATCCAGCATATTGGTTGAAGATTAGGGAACCCGTCAATCATTACGAATAAAAGCCTTGTGCGTGAAGACTCGTATGCGTGTGCGTCAGCAAGATTGTTCTACGTGTAAAATGGACTTTT